TCCTTCGAAAACTGCGAAGGTGGTATATGATGGAAGTGTCGAGGTACGATGTTCAGGTTTATACAATGCGAAATCAGTTAAGGAGGCTGTCAAATATAAAACTAAGCTTATTTTTTCTCAAGGCGATCTATTATAAGAACTCATCGTATCTTTCTTCCCTTACCTTAAAGAACTTTTTCTTGAAGGCTTCGCTGGGTAATGTGTTGACACCAACTCAAGTAAAAAGTCCTCCTAAGCTCACTTGGGACACCGAACCAGGAGCGCTATACACGGTTATCCTTACTGGTAAGTGTTTCAAAAAGTTCCATGTATCCTACCTAGAATCGTGAACCATGACCTTTTTTTCTAGATTCTTACACAAAAAAGACATTTTAAGACTGAAAACGATATACGAAACTCCGTATTAACGCCTACACCTTGCACAATATGTGACAAGTTGAAACAAATTAACACAAGATGGTGTAGTCCCACACTCTACACAGATCCACATATCAAAAGCGTAATCACGCGCTTTCGCCAACCAGACGGCTTCGCTGAAAAATGCGTTGTGGTGTGTAATCACGGCAATTGTTAGATTCCTGCCTTCCGTAGCTGCGCTTCTACATTTTTTTCTTCTAAGTAGAATTTTGCGGTCAGAACGAAATTGTGAGTGGAGGTCATGATGTATTCATTTATGTGAGTTATCTCGATGCTGATACTGAAGTTCAGTTCACCTTCAATTTTACGTTAGTTATGTGGTAAAGCTTACAATTTCTCAACCACTGCTTGGTTGTGTTACCCTATCATTCATTCTAACAATCTAATAGGCTATCGTTCCTTCTTGCAGACCCTGATGCGCCCTCACGAAAAGAGGCCACTTATCGTGAGTGGCATCATTGGTTGATCATCAATGTGCCTGGAAATGATATTGGCAAAGGCGATGTCCTTTCTGAATACATTGGTGCTGGGCCACCAAAGGGGACTGGTGAGATATGCAGAAAACGTTATTAGAGAAAATAGAATAACACTATTTAGGTCTTCACCGTTACATTTTCCTTGTATACAAACAACCTGGTCACATCACTGACTCTGAACATGGACATCTAACAAACCGCTCTGGTGAAGGAAGAGGTGGATTTAAGACTGCAAAATTTGTTGAAAAGCACAAACTTGGGAATCCTATAGCAGGGAACTTCTTCCAGGTAGATTTGCATTGCCTTGAATTTGTAATATCTCTGAATTCTGCTCACAGGCTGAATGGGACGACTATGTGCCAACCCTCTACAAACAACTAGGAGGATAATTGGAAATCCATGACATTTTCCCATTTAGCTTCGTGATGCCAACAATATTCGGTTTTGATTTACGTGTTCATAATGTTTTTTTATGTATTTGGTTTTGTTACAGTACTAAATGAATAATTGGGTATGGTGTTTCTTTAAACACAAAGCTGTTACTTTACGAGTTGCTACCTGGTCAGATCGAGAGATCAGAAATAAATGGAATTAGAAACACTAAATTATTCGTCTCCTAGAACTTGCAGAATCATTTTGCACCTTATATCACCTTACCCTTCGTGGTTTTGGAATCTGCTTTTCAATAAGTTGCTTAAAAATTATGAATCCCATGATTTGAGGATGAAGTAATTTCGGAAACCAATGATCTCGCATCACAATATTATTCAAAACTCCTAAGGTCGAATTTACGGCTTCAGTTATTCACTGAACGAGCCAAAAGTAGTTTTTCATGCAATTGTCTCAAACTATCGACTTAAATCACAAAGTTATTGGGCGACACACAGTGAAGTAATGCCTGCACAGTCTGTACTAAGAAAATGGGTTTCTTTCCGCATCAATCGAGCTGTTTTCATTCTTACATGCTGCGAGCGTGTATACTCAATCTTACTTTTTCTTTATTGTGCCATGACAAAGAACGGAAATCAGTTTACGATTATGCAAAAATAACGGACAATTTGCGAATACATCTCCACATTTTGGTATAATGGAACGTGTTGCTGCGCTGAAACAAAAATTATATTCTGAGAAGTTTAAGAAAGAAAAGCAGAAGACACCCACTTTTGTACCCGCAGGATTGAAGATTGTTGTGTCTGCATATAGAAAGAAGAACAGAAATTTCGTGTGGATTATA